TATCAATAAGACGAAATTATCAGCATTAATGATACCTATATAGTATATAATACTGATTTAGTATTAGTTAAGCTAAATTAGTTGGGGATATATAGTGTAATTATTTAGTGGGGTATGAATGTAAAGAGATATATGTTTGTAATTATTTTGCTTTTATGATGTATTTGCTTACTTTCCCCTTAAAATTAAGTAAGTAATAAATAATAAATAATTTAATATTAATACAAATTAGTATATGTATCGGTGCGATGAACAACTAATATTAACTATAATTATTATTTTTAGGGAAAATGTGTAGGTACCCCCCAACTTCTGCCCGAAATCTCAGAGACACACTTATACTATACTAAGGTACAATTACCCCTCCTCCCCCCCTGAACTTACTTTATAAATAATTTTCTACCCATTTTTGGCCTAAGTGGCACTATCTTCTGGGACCCAGCGCGTGTTGACAATATTTTCAAGCTATCTGGTTGATAGTGCAACGTAGGCCATCAAAGGGTAGAAAATTATTTATAAAATAAGTTCCGGGGGGAGGAGGGGTATGGGACCTTAGTATAGTAAAAGTGTGTCTCTGGGATTTCGGGCATAGGTTGGGGGGATACTTATGCATTTTCCCAAACAAGAATAAAGGAACAGAAGGCACAAAATATTTTGAAGAGGTTTGGTGCTGAGTGGTCAAATTGTTGTAAATATCCAATGGCTGCAAATGGAAGGATTTGGTTTCTATGGAAGAGTTCAGCTACATTGCAACCTCTTGAGGTCCATGAACAGTCCATTCATTGCAAACTTATTGATCCAACCAGCGCATTCCAATCTTATTTCACTGTGATTTATTGTAAAAATGTGCGCAGCTTAAGGGAAATATTATGGAGAGACCTTATTAGACTGGGCAGCTCAGTGAAGGAATGTTGGTTTATGGGTGGGGACTTCAATAATGTTCTTAATTCAGAAGATAGGTTGGGTTCCCTAGTAATACCAAAAGAAACCAAAGCTTTCCAATTATGTCTTGATACCATCCAAATGTCAGCACTTAGATGAAAAGGGTGTCACTATACTTTTTGCAACAATCTGCAGTCGACTAGCAGGGTATATTCTAAAATTGTTTGTGTATTTGGGAATCTTCAGTGGTTGAATACCTATGGACACATGGAAGGTCATATTCTAGTGTCTGGTGTTTCAGATGAGTCCCCTCAAATTATTCAGATCAGCCCGTAGCCTTATACGAGACCTAGACCATTTAATCTTTTTAAAACAGTTTTAAATCATCCTGATTTTGGTAGGTTGTTTGTGTCTGGGTTGTCTCGTCTGTTTGTGTATGGGTTGTCTCGTCTGTTAGCTTGTTTGTGTCTGGGTTGTCTCGTCTGTTAAGCAAAGAGGGTAAGGGTGTGATGTTCATACGGGACATGGACATAGCAAGGCTGATGATCCATGTGCAGCAGGTTGAGAAAGACAAGTTGAGAGATAGGGAAGAGTTTTGAAACAAGAAAGCTAACACAACATGAAATGAGTCCGGGCAGCAGAAGGACAATGCGAACCGGTCATTTTTTCAGGAAAAGCCAAATGGACCTGCTCCATTATCTACTAGTGCCCTTGCACTAAAGATTTCACCACCCAGGCATACCCCCTAGATGTAACATGGCCTGAAGATCCCCAAGTAAGCCTTTAGCATACCACAACATAAGATAATAGAAGACTACGGAAATTTAAAACATATTTTTGTACAATCAAGGTTTCATAAAATGAAGCGAAAGTCTATTACACTTGTCTCAAACCATCTAATACTTGAAAAGAGTTAGGGACACATCATATTCAAAAGCTCTAACATAAAAGAAAGACAAAAAGGAAAGGGTGATCAAGTCCTCAATGCTAGGAGGACTCACCAAAACTTCTCTTCTTGATCTACTATGAACCTAGCCAGGAGGATGGAAGTCAATATCGCCGAACCCTACATTTGATAAGAATGTAGGCAAAAGTATGTGTTAGTACAATAATGTACTAAATATGATGGCTAGCATAAATCATCAACATAAGCATAATAGAGGCATTAGTCAACATAAGCATAATAGAGGCATTTGTCAACATAAGACATATACCAAAATCATAAGACACAATAACATAAGTCATAAGCATAAGAGACATCATCATAAGACATAGGCTATAAGCATAAGAAATAACAACATAGTCATAGGCATAATCAATGCATCTAGTTTAACATTACATAAGAGAAACACTTTATAAGTCACCTCAAGACAAGCTTGGGCAATGCATGGATAAGACCCCATAATCCCCACCCATGCTAAGCAAGTCACTTTAGGACCTAATTCATATTTATCATCTTTTGATCTCATCCTTAGCTTATTTCTCATAGACAATGGAACATTCACCTTTAGTAACATATCAAGAAAAACAACTATAGCAACAACAAAACTAGGCATACATCATCCAAGTAGTCCTCATATCAAAACATACATACAATACTATCTTGAAGTATCCTTAGTTCATTATTCATGTTCATATTCATATTGTGATAGTGGAAAATCATAAGTCATAAGCATATTCATTACATAGGTCATCATAACATAAGAAGAACATATCATAACTACCCTCAAATCATACTTCTGCAATACATGAATAAGAAATGTAACCCATGCTAAGTAAGGCTTCTTAAGTAACCATGGTTCATAACTAATATTATTGTTTATATTGTAGTCATAGTGGAATTAAGCCTTAACCGACATAGACCATGTGAGCTTAACATGGAATTCGGTGTCTACCCCACACCGGAAAGAGGTTGTCCTACTTGCCTAAGGTAGAACCATGTTCTTAGCTTAGGTGGATACACTAGCTAAATAACCTATGTGGGCACATAGTTTATGGGATAAAGAGATTGCTACTAGAAACCTAGACTCAACTAAGGTAGAAGGTTTCCATCTCATGAGACACATACTTTGGAACCCGGACTCAGCTAAGGTAGAATGAACCCATTTAGAAAGTCGGACTCAACTAGTGTAAAACCTTTCATTGGGAAGCTGGACTCAACTAGCGTAAAAGCTTCCATCTCATATTCAATATCCACTCGGTGCTAAGCATCAATTCCCACAGATTACATATTAAGGCTTGACTTAAATTCATATTAATGGAAGAATGTCTTGATAGTCCATCAAACATAATTCATAAGATAGCTCATTAGATCATGCGTGAGAATAACCTTTCACCATCCATGTCTACATATAGATTCAATAGGTGAGAAAGCCTTTCAACCCTAGAATCATCATATTGTGAGAAAACATTTCACATCATATCATAATCATACATAAGTGTGTATATGAGGATAACCTTTCAACAACACAACAACTATATCATAATCATATTCATATTCACTTCACTCTCAAAGTGTTCTTAAAGCATATACTAAACTTCATAAAACATGCATCATATCATAATTTTTCCTTTTGAAGGGTCATAACTCATATCCATCAACACATCTGGAATTGACTACATTAGGCATGGATAATAACATAATTTCTACAAGAATAATCTCATAATATCATTGTTTCATCAACAAACCCACATCAGATATTTAGGGAATATGGGGATTTCAACATAAAAACCATAATGAATCATCAATTCAATCATAATATAAAGTAATTCAAGCATTGGAATCATTTTTTGAAAGGAACCCATGATTTGGAATCAAACCCTAGCTTTTGGTGAATTTCTATCTTTGCAATTGGGGTTTTAAAGGGGCTCCATGGATGAATTTTATCCATGGATGAAGAGCTACCATACATACTTTATCTTAGCCAATTCATGTCTATAAGCTTTCATCTTAAGAAACCTATTCATACTTCATCATATTACCCCCAATCTCAAGCACTACTAATCATAATTCATCATAGATACAGTAATCACATTCAATTCATGTATATATGCTTAACTATCAAGAGGTCTACAATATATTTCATCAGTTCTAGAAGATTACATCTAAATCCTCAATTTTCCATTTAATGCCATAAAACCCACTTACTTCAATTTCATCTCTCTAGACATGGGTTAGACATGTAAACATGTAATTTCATCTTAAAAACATGATATGCTACTAATTAAGTCATAAACAACCAGTATTGGATCAATATACAACAATACCCACAACATAGGAAGAAACCCTAACTAGAATTGGGGCTTCATCTCACAATTGGGGAAAACATGGGGGCTTCATGGATGAAAGGAATCCATGAATGAATAAGCCATCATACCTTGATTATAAAGCCTAGCAACCTTGAAACATTAGAGTCTTCACTTGACCTAGCTTGACCTCCTCCTTCTTGTTCTTCTCCTTCTCCTTCTCTTTCTCCTTCTTCGTCTTCTTCTTCTTCTAAATATGTGTAACCACACAATTTATCCGACTCAAAAAAATTAAATGTCAGATAAGCTTAGTCAAATCACCTTAAGTTTAAGGGTCTCCTCAACTATTTCTCCTTCAGCAAATAATTAATTAGTATTGACCAAATGTCCAAAATTCGTGATTTTTTTCCTAAAAGAGACACCTTCTACAAATAATAAATAAGTATTGACCAAATATCCAAATATCATATTTTTTTCTAAAAGAGTCACCTTCTAAAGATAATAAATATGTATATTGACCAAATATCCAAATATAGTAATTTTTTTTTCTAAAAGCAATCATATATTATTGATTTCATCTTCTCAATTTAATAATCTATATATTGTCCTTGATATTTCAAGTCTCAAACCATATTACTTCTCAACTATTATTCTTGATTTTTACTTTAAGAGTATCCGAAAATATGATTGATGAGAAGAAGAAAAGATCAGTCTTTCGTAATGTTAGCTTTCAAATTGAACCTTCTAAAGGTGAAGCTAATTGTTACACCAATAATATACCACAAGCGGTTAATCAAAATCTTGCACAAGAACGAATTAGTGATCATCTTAACCGTAAATAGAAGGAGATGCTACATGGATGGCCAGCCGAAATGAGACAATGTCAAAATGGAGCATTTGGCATGGTAAATACAATTTTTATTGATGTATATGTTCTTGGAACCAGGTTTAAGACTTTGGGGGTTTTAAATTTCCTTTAGAATCGTCAATCAATTTTATTAGGAGTTCACAAATTAATATACATATATATATGTAATTAATTTTCTAGGACAAATACAGGATCTATGAACAAGCTAATAGGTTCGTCTGAACCCACGAACCCCCACCTAGCTCCGCATTTGTATGCATGACATTTTCTTTTCTTTATATCATGCTTCCTATTTGAATTTATTGATCACTACCAATATTGTGAATCCTCCATTTAATCAGAATATCGCTTGTTTTATCTTATCTTTTTCCTGGAAAAAGAAATCAGAACATTTGTTTTGTGGGTGTTAGGCAATAATTAAACTTTATTTTCCTATTTCAAACTGGACTACTAAACTACAATAGTACTATCACATTCAAACTTCTTTGGATTTTATATTATTTTTTTCTTTGAAATTTTATATATAACTATTTTTTTTTCCTAATTAAGGACCAATAATCTCTAACCAATGATATATCTAGAAAATGAGAGTTAGTAATATATTTACTTTTTAATATGTGCAGTTTAATTTGTACTTTGTACAATCATATATATAGTTAGTTCATAACAAAAATTATTGTGGGATTGCAGTATTACTATCATAAGAGCAAGCAATATCGTTCTATTGTGCAGGTAATAAGAAAACATGTATTCAGGGGTTTATCAAAGCTTGAAGTTGATCAAAAAACCACTGAAGTAAAAGAGGTATGCTCTTACATTATTTGCATTTTTTTTGGACTACTATAGCTTGTTTGACTAAGTTTCTTGCGTGTATACATATATATTTGTGTGTGTGTGTGCAAGAAATATTTACCAAGTCTTATGTTGCATTTCTATAAGAAGTGATTTTTATGACAGCCTCCTAACTATATGACACTAACTTCTATTGTCATGTTAAGATGCAAAGACATTTACATTATTCTTATTAAAAAAATTATTAATCCAAAGGTTAGGGTTATTAAAAAGTACTCCGTGAAAAGAAAGGCAGAACGTTCCATCTTGAAAAGGAAGTTCGCAACAAAGAAACAGAAAAGCAACAATTATTGCAAGAGGGAGGTCAAAAAGTTTCTCAATGAAACAATAAACAACTTCATGAATAGGGATGTCAAACACAAAAACAAGGTAAGTTAATGTTGCACTAGCTATTACAGAATGATTTTTTTACAAAAAACCCACTACAGAAAATATAAGAATTAAAAATTGATACATCTCATAATTTGAATAAAATATTTTATCTTAATATAATCTTATTTAGCAATGGATTAACAATAAATTATAAAAAAATACTTGTTAGCTATCAGCTATTTGGCGACTAATTTTGTAGTTGCACTATGTCTTTTTTATCGTATTTTTTTTATATATATTTTATGTTTTCTTAAAACATTAATAATTTTAAAATGAAAGGATTTTGGAATGTCAGAACAAGATTCCTCCTTGAAAAGAAAAATACAATCTTCAATCTTGGAGGGAGAACCTAGAACAAAGGACCAAATAAGAATATTATTCACACCAAAGGTAAAATACAAGCGGGAATATTTTCTGAACAACATAAATTGGTTTTAGCATTGCAAGGTTCAAAAAATTGTGGGAGGTCTAGTTGGCGATGAAAACAGAGCTAGTAATAGTGCAAACGGTGGCAGCAACGAAGGAGTGAGAGGCCGCAGAGATGATAGTGGTAGAATTTGAATATCCTAACATTGGTTTTCCATGTTTTCAGTCAATAATTTGTTTTGTTAGTTAAAACTATTTGTGCCCTAAGTGTTTGATGAATTTCATGAATGAAATCATTATGAGTTTCATTCTATCAATAAGATTTGAGTTTTGTGGAAAGATGATCTTAATTGGTCTATTTTTGCTATATTACAATGTATTTTTGGATGACTGTTCTGTATTGTTTCATAATGTATTGTATTGTATGGTACTGTATTATTTCAATGAATACAATGTTTGGATAAATTGTATCATTTTATGACTTTAGATAATGTCACACATATACTATTTGAATGATAAAATCTACAACAAAGGTATGGACTCGATAAAGTTACTGCGAAAAGGTAGAGTATTCGAATTCATGTTAGAATACTCTTAATATTATTATTTTTGAAGATCCTATCACTTAAATATTTTTAATATTCAAATATTAGTAAATGATTATTCCTTAGTTTAATGCAATTATTTACGATACCTAGTTATTTATAAATAAGATTATTAGTTAGATAGATTCTTACCTCTGGACTTTTCTTGTAACAATAACAATAATGATAACGAACTCAATATAATTAATTCAACAAGTGGAATGTGACTAGAATGGTGTGTATGGTGTCTAGATAGTCTTACCCCTACCTAACGAAGGTAGAGAGATTGTTGTTTTTTAACATCATCACAGACCCAATAAACCCCCCAGTTCCATTCCTTTTCTAGTTGTGGACCTCACCCCTCTTAATCAAAATGCTCTGCTCAACATTGTCCCGTACACAATCGCACAACAACCCTTGCGAGCCTGAAGCAAAACAATCCCATCACCTCTTCGAGATTGCGACACCCACGCTTGAAACCTCAAAGTTCACAAAAGTTAGGTGCCTACCATTATTCGGTTAAGTGCACAAACCTATCAAGATAAAAATCAAATATGCAAATTTCACGAAAATGCCCTACGAACATGTTGAGATGCTGAAATACCAAGCTGGGGTTTCTGGGCACATATTTGATTGTGATGATCTCTTAATCTTTAACTTTACTAGTTTGCAACTTAAGTTTCTGAATCTCTCCCGGTTTCATTGGGACTTGTTCAAACTATCCACTAAAGTTATAAATCACCCTTCGAATGTATATGGACTTTCAAACCTCGATTCTGAGCTAGTTTACCCCAATTGTTGACTTGGAACAATTCTTACGATTATAACTCTATAGTTTTTTATTTTGCTCTCTAATACACATCTAATTACCTCAAGTTACGTATTACCCATCCTTGCAAGTCATAATAAACATTTAAAGCTTATTCCAATTGTAAGTTAATTAAAGGAAAAGGGTCCTAATATAAATCTACCAAACTGATTGTTACAAGAAGTGATTTCCGTGATGACCTACTAACTACATGACACTAACTTTTATCGTCATGTTGAGACGCCAAGACAATTTACTTTATTCTTACTGAATTTTCTTTGTTAATCCAAAGGTTAAAGTTGTTGAAAAGTGCTCTAGAAAAAGGAAAGGAAAATGATCCATATGAAAGAGGGAGTCCAGAACAAAGAAACAGAAAAAGCAACAACTATAATAAGAACAACCTAAATTTGTGTTGGCATAGGTCACCGAAAGGTTCATGGATTCAACAAATTGTGGTGGCGTTGGTGTTGATGTTAGTAATGGTGAATTTGGTGATGTCATGGGATATGGTGAGGGTCATGGATCCAGTGCAAACAGTGGTGGCAAAGAAAGGAGGGAGAGGCCTTGGTAGAATTTGAATTTCCTAACATTTGTTTTTCATGTTTTGTAAGATTTTTAAGTAAAAGTAATTGTGCCTCGAGTGTTTGATGAATTCCTTTAAAGAACATTCTTTGTATTTTGTTCTATCAAAATAAGATTAGGTTTTTTGGATACATGATCATAGTTGTTCTATATTTCATAGATTATAATACGTAAGATCCAATCAAACTTTGTTTATTTCAATTGTGTATGCCAAATCTAGAAATCAATAATTTGATAAGGAGTGAGAAAAAATACATGAATTTTCTATATCAAATAGACTGAAAGCAAACCTCGAATGGTAGATACTTCTATTCAATAGTCAAATTCCTTCAAATCCACATAATCTAGACATGATAATTGGATTGAGGCAAACATGCTGCTGACTTTTACAAACAATCATTATCTCAAGGAAATAACAAAATGGACAATGTTTTGTTGGTAAATAAATAGGGTTCTTATTTATTTTCTAGTTTGTGATAAGTGAAAAAAAAATTCCAAGAATATTTATATATAATGTATAGGACGCGTGTATCTACTTATTCACACCCAAAATTGGAGGGCATAAATGGCAAATAAAGCTAAGTTAAAGGATACATTTATGCATTATGCCTAAACAAAATGATGATTCATTAGGCAACATTTTGAACGTACTTTCTTATGAGAAGATAAAAATGTCACCTTTGAGCTGTACATTTCTTTAAAATTAGAAGAAATTGATTTCTTTCAAACGATATTTCCTTTCAAGATAACCTTTCAATATTTATATTCAGATCAGATTAAGGTTTTCCGAAAGAAATATCTGTGTGAATGATCTTAGTAAGATTGAAGATAAAAATAAAAATAAGAAGTAATATCATTAGTCATAGTGAGGAACACACAAACGTCAAGGAGTTTAAAATATTTCTTTTGATTAAGCTAGGCGTTTAGATGATATTTCACAGAGTGCATGTGATGGATTGCCAAATCTTAACAAGTATAAGAATTTTTCAGCCATTCCGTCTTTGTAATATGTAGATATGTTGGAATAGTAATTTAAACTTGGAGTAGGAATCCTTAGTTATTAGAATTTATTAATTTTGGTACTTATTTAATTAATATCTACTTAGAATTTGTTTATTCTAGTTTGTATAGGAAAAGGTTTTCTAGTCCTAGTTTAATTTGGTCTCATACTTTTATAAATAAGGATGTTGCTAGTAATTTCAGTAGACAGAAACATGCAAAACATACGAAATAGATAGAACTTGAAGCAAGGTTCAATAACTTTTGAGTTTATAAAAAAAATATAATCCTTCAAATTGTTGTCAAAGCTTTTACGATCCCGATAGGGAATCAAAGAGTTTTCGCTGCAGGCGGGTGGCTATGACCCATATAGGCCGCCCATCTGGCCAATAAAATTTCTTGACTTAATTACTTGACATTTAGATAATTAAGTTAGCAAAAATTATGTATTAGTGTAAATTTTTAGTGAAGTTAAGTTTTTATATCTTAAATTCTAGTGTAGTCAAGAAAAATATTTTATTCATAAAATTCAATTATTGATAATATTATCAATTAATTTATAAATATTTACAACATTAATTAGTTCAGTTTACCATGTATCAATAAACAAAAGAGAGTTACTAAAGGAAATTGCATCTTGCGTTTCATGTTATTTTTAGAAATTTATTAGAATTAGTAGAAAAATAATATACGTTGAAGAAATAATCTATGTCATTTTTTTGGGAAAAAATGTTTGTCTAATGACTTTTTTATTTTATAATAATAAAAAAATAATCTAGATCACTGCATATATTATTAGAAAATGTCAACGAATATCTTCAAAAATTATTAGTCCATATGAATTCGTATAAATGGCATGGGGAAAAATATGTTACATAAATATTAACTAGTTAAGGTGAATATAATTAACAAAAAGATCTAGACATATTTAAAAAAATTGAAGGCACTATATATAGAAGGAAATTTCTTGAAACAAAAGTTAAGTGTGTTTGGTATGGAGGGAAATATTATTCCATATTTGGTTGCTCAAATATTTTTAAAATTAATTTTTCTAGAAAAACAAACTCCTTAAAAATATAAGGAAAATAAGTTTCATAAGTGACATTTCAAATTCATTGTCCTCTCCACACTAACCCAACATCCCAAATACCCATGACTTGACTATCCCATCTTTAACCATCACTCCCCACCCTTTAAGCCTATAAAATATTTTGCTAGATTATATATAAATATTTTTGGAATAATATTTTTTTAACTTATCACAAATTAGAAAATAAATAAGATCCTGTTGTAAATCATTTTGGTGGTTAAATGGATGACCATAACTCCTAGGTTAATTCCCTCATTTATGAGCAATAATGTTGTTGATAATGTTGTCAAATGGATTACCATAACTCCTAAGTCAATTTCCTCCTTTATTGGTAGTAATGTTGTTGATAATATGGTCAAATGGATGATCATAACTTCTAGGTTTATTTCCTCCTTAATGGGTAGTAATTTTCAAAGGTTAATGTATTGTTTATAATAACCCTTTGGTATTCCTCGATGTAATCCTATAAATAGTGGTGTTGAGAATTCTAAATAACATGTTTCTTGGAAAATTTGCATTTCCATATATAGAATTCAGACCCTTGCTTGTATTAATTATTAGTACTTCATGTATTGTACTTGCTAGGCGGATCAGTCAGTAAATCAAACTTCATAACTCCTATGCCTTATCTTTCAGTAAATTTATGTTGCATTTTCAGATAGCATGTCAATATTTTGAGCTACTCGGTATTGTCATAAGGCATGAAATCAGACCAAAGGGAATCTCTATAGGAACTAGTCCCTTATATTTCACACATAGGAGATCGAGACACAGCCCCAGTGCTATGGGGAAGGCTATATAGAATAACACCTTAATGAATTGAAGCGGATAAAGCTCATCATTTCTCGCCTTTCCCTTTCGACTAGACAAATTTAATAGCTGCTCCGATCTCGATTCCAAGACCTGGACCCCTTTCAGGTTTGAAAGCAGCCCTTATTCCATCAACAACTCAATCGATGGGACTTGCTTGCCAAAATTAAGACCAAACAGAGAGTTAGTAGCATAATCAAAGATGGATTTGTGAATGAGAAATACAAGTTTCCAATATTAAAATCCATCAATGGCACAATCTCAAATTGATCAAGGGGATTGTGGACTTCAAATTATGATCTCTTTTACGTGAGGAAGGGGGACCACCCTCTAAGCCTATGTACTCCTCAATGACCGATACAGTACAAGTACCATGATGGAAAGGTGAAAATAACCCTATTTAGGTAGTGCAATAGAGAACCTGAGATCCGATGCGAACGACCAGTCGAAGGAGCGGAGCTTAGAGCCTTTACTTTATGTAAAGCGCACTCACTCTAACGAGTTTACATCGCACCTTTGCTACCGGGCATTCATTGCCAATCACTCCTAAATCTACCTGGTATGGACTACTAAATTGATTCCTCTTGGCTTGATTAAACAACCCTCTTAGATATTTCAGTTGCATTTTAGCTATATAGATATTTAGTTAAGAGTATGCTTAGCAGCGAGTTGGGGAAGGGCTTAGTGTACCCTCACAGTCCCAGAAATACGTACCTATGTAGATTGAGAAGTCCCCTCTGTTGTGAGTCAGCTTTAGTGATCAGGCCACAGTCATGCCTCTTTACCCCTGACAAGGTATATTGAGTCTTCTCGATGAGGCGTATACATCAAACTCCATGATTAGCTCACGTGGTTTATGCCAGTTAATAGTAGCTTCCACTATCTTACTCTTATTGCATTGACCATGTTATCGGCATTTACTTCAGTATTCAGTTCAACATGTTATCTTGAAGATTAGTACTTGGTCATTGCATTTATCTCAGTTTTCACTTATACTCCAGTATAGCCCATTGCCATGCTCAATCTATATTGCCAATATTATATTGTTATACTTATATTGTCCAACTTAGTATCTATATCATGCATGCTCAGTACATTCAAAGTACTGATGCATACTTTGCGCTACATCATTTTATGATGTAGGTTCAGGCGCTTAGCATCCAAACCATACTTTGTACGATTTCCAACCCATACTCAGCAACATCAAGTGTGAGTCTTCATAGTTTTAGGGTGTTTCTTTATGCTTGGTTTAGTTACCTTACTTTTAGTCTTTCAGAATTTTTTTTGAGTTAGTTGGGGACTTGTCCTAGTAGCTCATCATTAGTAGAGGTTTTTAGACATAGAGTTAGTATTAAGTGTTTTGGGGTTGTTTCTCCCAGATATTCAGATATATTTACATTTGGAGTCCTTTAGTTTTGACTCATTTACTAGTTATGCTTCCATTTATCTTAGTTATATATTAAGTATGCTTGAGATATGTTAGACTCTGAGTTAGCATGGGGTCACCTGTGATCCTAGGTCATGGGTTACGTCTAGGGGGTAGCCTCGGGCCGTTATAAATTTGGTATTAGAGCATCAGGTTCAAGAGCCCTAGGGTGTTTGAAAGATGCACTAAGTAGAGTCGCTTTCATGAATGTGAAACATGCCATACCTATGAGAGGGACGCTTCTAGGTGTTTCTTTTGCTATTCCTATCATCTGTGACGTGTGATTTAACTTCACCTTTCTAATCCATCGTTATACATTTCCGATGATGCCTCATCGCAGAGCTAACACACAGAATTCTAACGCAAACAATGCTAACACAACTCCTCAAGTCCCAAACCATGAGGTTACGAATGTAGAGTTCCTTAATGCGATCCAATTTTTGGCTCAGACCGTAGCCAACAAGAACAATCAACATGCCCCAGTTCCTGCAAACACCACTGGTGGATCAGCTATAACGAGGGTTTGAGACTTTATTCATATGAATCAACCAGAGTTGCTAGGGTTAAAGATTGGTAAGGACCCACAAAACTTCATTGATGAGGTCAACATAATTCTTAAGGCTATACAAGTGACTGGTACTGATAGTTGATCTAGTATCCTATC